GCCCACCTTGGTCTCCCAAAGTGCTGAGATTACAGGCATGAGCCACTGTGCCAGGCCTCATATTGCCTTTTTTTTTTTAATTTTTAATTTTTTGAGATGGAGTTTTTCTCTTGTTGCCCAGGCTGGAGAGCAATGGTGCTATCTTGGCTCACTACAACCTCCGCCTCCCAGGTTCAAGTGATATTCCTGCCTCAGCCTCCCGATTAGCTGGGATTACAGGCATGTGCCACCACACCTGGCTAATTTTTTGTATTTTTAGTAGAGACAGGATTTCTCTATGTTGGTCAGTCTGGTCTTGAACTCCTGACTTCAGGTGATCTGCCCACCTCAGCCTCCCAAAGTGCTGGGATTACAGGTATGAGCCACTGTGCCCAGCCTTCTATTGCTTTTTAGGACTGCATATTTATATGAAGTTGCTTTGGAGTGGCCTGATGGAATTATAGGTGTCTGAAACCCGTTGCACAACTACTATGGATCAAGACAAGGAAAAGGTTGAGGGGAAAGATTCTGGCTCTCGGAAGCAGAAGGCAGAAATACAGTTGCAGAAAGTTGTGTGTCTGCATCAAAATAATCACCCAACTGTGTCATCCAGCCTGAGTCAGACCCTGGAGGGCTTCATAGAGAGTAGATGATGCCACTCTCAGTGGTGGAAACTACTAGGAACGACCAGGTTTGATGGATCTTGTGGAGCAAGCCCTCAAGTGTTCACCATCTAAATTAGAAGTTATGGAATGAACAGTTGTAGGCAGAGAGAGGGACTGGGTAGGTCCCTGTTGACTGGGAGTGAGTTAAACCCTGGGCCCTGGAAGACAGAAACCATCACTGTGAAAAGAAGGGTGAGCCATTGTTCCCTTTTCTTTCCTGGTGCATCGTTTCAGATTTGTTTGGGTTGGTGAAGACATTCTCAACAGTCCTCAAGTGGCAGCACGGACAGTGCCAAGCAATATCTTTATGCACTCTACCCAGATGACCATGGCTAAGCCCCAGACTACCTAGAATTCCAAGAGGGGCAGATTGATATGGGCTGGAGTGGTCAGAGAAAGCTTCAAGCAGACCCCAGAACTTGGGCTATATCTTGAAAGGCAGACAGGATTGAGGCAGTCAGAGGGAGGAGAAGGCATTTCAGATGGTGGAGTCAGCTAGAAGTCTAAATAAATGTGGGCCTGGGAGGAGACTCAGACTAGATGGCAGGGTGCTCGCAGGAGATGGTGAGAGATAATCAATTCAGCCTCAGTCTGCTGAGTCTAGACTACATGCATGGCACCTTGCCAGCTGTTCTTATGCTGCTAATAAAGGCATATCAAAGACTGGGTAATTTATAAAGAAAAAGAGATTTAATGGACTCACAGTTCCTTGTGGCTGGGGACGTCTCATAATCAAGACGGAAGGCAAAAGGCATGTCTTACATGGCAGCAGATGAGGGAAAGTGAGAAGCAAGTGAAAGGGGAAACCTCTTATAAATCATCAGATCAGGGGCCGGGCATGGTGGCTCATGCCTGTAATCCAAGCACTTTGGAGGGAGGCCAAGGCGGGCGGATCATCTGAGTTGGGAGTTCAAGATCAGCCTGACCAACATGGTGAAACACCGTCTTTAGAAAAAAAAAATAATAATAATCAGATCAGCCGGGTGCGTTGCCTCACGCCTGTAATCCCAGCACTTTGGGAGGCCGAGGCAGGTAGATCACAAGGTCAGGAGATTGAGACCATCCTGGCTAACACAGTGAAATCCTGTCTCTACCAAAAATACAAAAAATTAGCTGGGTGTGGTGGCACATGCCTGTAATCCCAGCTACATGGGAGGCTGAGGCAAGAGAATTGCTTGAACCTGGGAGGAGGAGGTTGCAATGAGCTGAGATTGTGTCACTGCACTCCAGTCTCAGAGCACGACAGAGCGAGACTCCATCTCAAAAAAAAACAAAACAAAACAACCAAAAAACTAGTTGGGCATGGTGGTGCACACCTGTAGTCCCAGCTACTTGGGAGGCTGAAGCAGGAAAATCACTTGAACCCAGGAGTTGGAGGTTGCAGTGAGCTGAGATTGTGACACACACACACACACACACACGTGCGCACACACACACATAAAATCATCAGATCTAGTGAGACTCATTCATTACCTCAAGAACAGTATGGGGCAAAACACCCCCATGATTCAAGTATCTCCCACCAAGTCCCTCCCACAACACATGGGAATTATGGGATTTGGGTGGCGACGCAACCAACTTATTGCAAGTCTGTCCTTCCTCGATTACCCACATCCATCACTCCTTGTCAGAAAGTTTTTTGCTGTGTCTAATCCAAGTCTGCATGGCTAAGGTAAAGTTGTTTTTCCCGGTTTTGTCTTCAGGTGAGGCGAAAGACACAGTTTATGGAAAGCCCCACCCAGCAAGAAAATAGACTTATCTTGACTCCAAATGTTGTCCCCAAGGAAAGCTTCTGGCATCTAGAATGGCCCTGGCTGCACAGCCTGATCCTGCCTCCAGGAGGAATTCTGGTGGCTTTGGGGATCTTGGGTATTTCCTTTTGTCTTGTCAACTGGTAAAAGGACTTGGGTTTCCCCCTCTATCTCATAGGAGAGGTGAGAAGAAAAGAAAAAAAAAGAATTCTCCTTTGTTTTTGCAGTGGAAATTATTTGCCTATACCAATAGCACATTGAGATGCAATATTTAAAAGAAAAATGACAAATTCTTCAGAGCTAAATATTTGTTGTTAATTCAAACATGGGTCCTTCTGATTATATTAAAGTTGTCCTGGAAGCAAGAGAAGGGACCCTGGCATCAGAGAGACCTGGACTCATATCCTGACCCAGGCACTAGTGAGCTGTGAGATCTTAGGCAAGTGAGTATACTTGTCTGAGCCTCAGTTTCCCCATCAGTACAATGGGGGAGGGGTCCAGGAGGGCAGTCATCCTTCCTCCATAGAGTTGTTATACAGATGACCACTTTATAGCACAAACAGAGCATTCAGGTTGAAGATTCCCATCCCTCACTTGTTCTCACTCCTTTCTGTTGCTTCCTCCTTTACTTGGTCCCTCCTGGACCCTCTCTCCTGGCCTGTGCCTCAGACCTCCTGGAGGGGACTCCAAGGCAGAGCTCACAGCAGCCTCCGTTCATCAGCACCTGGAGCCTGCCTGTCCCTGCCCGAGGGACAGGGAACTCCTTCGGGAGGTGAACCCCTGGCTCCTCTTTCATCCTTCTTCATCAAGCCAGGGTGATGAAATTGAGTGGCCTTCACTGTCAAGTGCCATTTTTACTGGAATTTAATCAGAACTCAGAGACCAACTCTTTGGTCATTGCAGTTGAGAAGTACCTGCTTTGTTCTGCTTTTCCTGATATTGCAAATACTTTTGGATGCTTATTTTTATTCAAGAAGGCACAGAGTATCAGACTTTTTGATGAGAGTTCCCTGTGGAGAGATGATTGCATCTCCAGAGGCCAGTTACTGCTTTAGAGACCCACAGCGCAGCTTTTCAGCAAGGAACCTAATTAAATAAGTTTGGGAAAGTCCCCGAACTGTGTTTCTGTGGAGTCCTGAGATAGACGGATTTCAAGCTAAAAGCGGAGGCCCTTTCCTGGAAATGATGTAATTGACTGAAACAAATACTTTCATCCAACCTCCCTTTCCAAAGGCCCCTCTGGTGGTAGATTCCCTTTGGGGGCTGCATCAGGAATCAGAGAGTAGGGTAGGGGCCAGGACTCCCTAAATCCTTTCTGTCTGAATAGCAGAGGGGAGTCTTGGCTGAAAGCCGTTTAAAAAATAATTTTCTAATTCATTAGTTCATTTAATCCTGAATTCCTATCATGTAAATTTATTTTGTCATAGAATAGGTAAGATATTTACCTGGTTCAGAATTCAGTAAAAGGATCTCCTAACCCAGTCCCCAACTGTCTGTTTTCTCTCTCAGGAGGGAAGTAACAGACTAGTTTCTTATGCCTTCTTTAGAGATACGCTATGTACAGAAAAACTGCACACCTTTTCTTCTGGTGCTGTCTTTTTTGATTTTTAAAAACAATATATCATGGAGTTCTTTTCAAAACGATGCTTACAAGTCTTCATTTTTTGTGGTTCATGTTATTAGTTCACTGCATAGAGATATCACAGCTTCTCCAGTAATCTCCTATTGAGGACAGCTGCTTTATTTACATTCTTCTACTGTTATAAGCAACATGGCAGTGAATAACCCGTACAAATGTCTTCATACATGGGAGAATATCTCTAGGATAAGCTCTTACAAGCAGAATTGCTGAGTGAAAATGCATACACGTTTGTAATTTTGAAAGATGTGCTGAAATGGCCCTACAGAGAAATTGGACCAATTTATACTGCCACTGACACCTAACAGTGTTTTAAATATGCAGGTGTTTTATTTATTTAGTTAGTTTTGAGTCAGGGTCTCACCCTGTTGCCCAGGCTGGAGTGCAGTGGCACGATCACATCTCACTGCAGTCTTGACCTCCTAAGCTCAAGTGAATCTCCTATCTCAGCTTCCCAAGTAGCTGAGACCACAGGTGTGCACCACTGTGCCCGGCTGTGCTTTTGTGGCCATGACACTGAGCAGTGACACTGTGCTCTTATGGCCATGACTATGGCAGGCACACATGCCTGAGGCCCCTGCATCACTGTCCTTCCACAGCTGTGTTACCTGCAACTGCTAACTTACTCTAGTCCTTGAAAGACACCTGGGGGTCTTTCCTTGATAAGAGGTATGCACATTTACTTTGAACATGATTATTTTCTCAGGATTACTTAATATTTTTTATACATATGAAACTATACTTCCTCACAGTGAGTGAATAGAAGTCTGTGTTCTATTGTTTTTCTTTTCTTCCTTCCTTCCTCCCTCCTTCACTTTTTTCTTTCTTTCCTTCCTTCCTTTCTCTTTTTCTTTCTCTCCCCTCCCTCCCTCCCTCCCTCCCTCCCTCCCTCCCTCCCTCCCTCCCTCCCTCCCTCCCTTCCTTCCTTCCTTCCTTCCTTCCTTCCTTCCTTCCTTCCTTCCTTCCTTCCTTCCCTCCTTCCCTCCTTCCTACAGGGTCTCACCTTGTCTCCCAGCTTGGAGTGCAGGGGCATGATCCCAGTTAACTGCAACCCCTGCCTCTCAGGCTCAAATGGACTCACTGCAGCCTCCCAAGTAGCTGGGACTACAGGTGTGAGCTACCATGCCAGGCTAATTATTTGTATTTTTGGTAGAGACAGGATCTTGCCATGTTGCCAAGCCTGGTCTTGAACTCCTGAGCTCAGATGATCCAGCCACCCCAGCCTCCCAAAGTGCTGGGATTACAGGCATGAGCCACTGCACTCGCCTCTATTGGTTTTCTTATTCTGAGTAAGGAGAACACTACTTGCCTGAGATCTGCATTTGAATGATGTCTCCAGTGAATAACCTTGTGATCTTGCCAACTTACCCGGCTTCTCAAGTTCCCTCCACTGCAGTGTTGCAGAGACCAGGAGGATAATGAACCACAGCAGTAGTTCTTGAGCTTGGAGCTTCGGTGCACACACCATCACCTGGGGGGCTCCTGGAAACAGACGGCTGGGTCCCAGCCCCAGGGTCTCTGATATAGTCAGTGTGAGTGGAACCTGGTCATTTGCAAACCTAACAAGTTCCCGCGTGATGCTGCTGGCCAGGGGCAACACTCTGAGAGCCATTAAAACCTGTCCAGAAATAATAATTGCATAATTTTTTTGTCTCTTCTATTGTCTTGACTGACAGGTTAAGAAAGGGAAACTGCATTTATTGAGTACCAAAAATTATGGAAGCCATCTTGTTTTATTTAATACTTACCCTTAAAGTACTTATTGCTTTATGGATGAGAACATTGAAACTAAAAAAAGTTAAATGACTGGGCCGGGCACGGTGGCTCAAGCCTGTAATCCCAGCACTTTGGGAGGCCGAGGCGGGTGGATCACGAGGTCAAGAGATCGAGACCATCCTGGTCAACATGGTGAAACCCCGTCTCTACTAAAACTACAAAAAATTAGCTGGGCATGGTGGTGCGTGCCTGTAATCCCAGCTACTCAGGAGGCTGAGGCAGGAGAATTGCCTGAACCCAGGAGCCGGAGGTTGCGTTGAGCCGAGATCGCGCCATTGCACTCCAGCCTGGGTAACAAGAGTAAAACTCCGTCTCACACACACAAAAAAATAATAATAAAGTTAAAACTGTGTCTCAAAAAAAAATGACTTACCCAGAGTTTAACAATGAGGAAATGGTGAATCTGGGATTCCAATACAAGTTTGTCCAACTCCGGAATCTATATTCTATTTGTTACACCTTATTGCTTGCCAACGGTGTTTGGCCGTGGTAATTGCATACGTTTAGGGGTTTAACTTTATTCTGCTTCTTTCTTTCCCTTTCCTTCTTTTTCTTCCTTCCTTCCTTCCTTCCTTCCTTCCTTCCTTCCTTCCTTTCTTTCTTTTTCTTTCTTCTTTTTCTTTTTTTCCTTTCTTTCTTTTTCTATTTTTTCTTTCTCTCTGTCTTTCTCTCTTTTCTTCCAAGTCTTGCTCTGTGGGAAGGCTGGAGTGCAGTAGCATGATCTCAGCTCACTGCAACCTCTGCCTCCCAGGTTCAAGTGATTCTCCTACCTCGGCCTCTGGAGTAGCTGGGACTACAGGTGTGCACTACCATGCCCGACTAATTTTTTTTTTAATTTTAGTAAAGATGGGGTTTCACCATGTTGGCCAGGATGGTCTCCATCTCCTGACCTTGTGATCTGCCCACCTCGGCCTCCCAAAGTGCTGGGATTACAGGCGTGAGCCACCGCGCCCAGTCTACTTCTTTCTATAGGATAGTTTGTCTTCTACTTTGACTGTCTTTCTATATTTTTTCCCAGGTATTCTGTGTACAGAGTTCAGTCCACTGATCTAAAACAAGTTACTTTGGCTCTTCGAACTTCATTTTCCTCATATGTAAACCGAGGAAGCATCCACCTTACAGTGTGGCAGTGAGAGTTACAGACAATACATGTGAACCACCTGGCAACGTGCCTGGCCAGCGTAAGGCACATAACACTCAACAGCTGCTGTTATTCACTAGCCCCTTGCTCCCCTCCCTTAAACGCCATCCCTGATTTCCAAATGAATCAGATGGTGTGTTCTTCTCTTGTTCTGTCACATTAACTAGAACTTATTCTGACTATATGCTCGAATTGCCTCATCGGCATGTCTCCTACTGGCACCTATTATATTGAAGAGCATTATAAATATTAAAGAAGAGAACATGGGCCAGGCGCGGTGGCTCATGCCTGTAATTCCAGCACTTTTAGGCCGAGGCGGGTGGATCACCTGAGGTTGGGAGTTAGAGACTGGTCTGACCAACATGGAGAAACCCTGTCTCTACTAAAAATACAAAATTAGCTGGGCATGGTGGTGGGTGCCTGTAATCCCAGCTACTCGGGAGACCGAGACAGGAGGATCACTTGAACCTGGGAGACAGACGTTGCAGTGAGCCGAGATCATGCCATTGCACTCCAGACTGGGCAACAAGAGTGAAACTCCATCTCAAAAAAAAAGAGAGAGAATATGTAAGATGCAATGAATCAGCCAGTCAACAAGCAAATATTGAGCACCTTCTATGTGCCAGGTGTGGGGTTATAGTTGTGCAGCAGAAAGTCCTGTTACAGAACTGAAGTGGGGTCTGCTTCCCTGGTGCAATAAACTCAAACATTCACACCCAGGCTTGCAGTGGAAGAAAAAAGCGTGTTAATTTTCAGGAAGCTGAGTAAGGAGAATCAGGCAGCTCATGCTTAAGACCTGACCTTCCTGATGGCTTGCAAGTAAGGGTGTTTAAGGATGAGGAGGCAGAGGTTACAGGCAAAATCATATATCAATACACATAGACTATACATTGGTTTGACCTAAGAAGGTGGGACATCTCAAACCAGGGGCTTACAGGTCATAGGTAGACTCAAAGATTTTCTGATTTGCAGTCGGTTATGAAAGCAAAGCTTTATCTAAAAATTTGGGATCAGCAGAAAAGAACATTAGCCTGGCTCTTCAGCATGGCTTCCTCCAGGCTTCTCAGGAAGAACTTTAGAACTAAGAATGGCAGTCAGAATTCAGTCCTCAATTCCCCCTTATCTGAGGTCTGTGCTCCAGTGGATCCATTTGGTGGGGGTTTCTGAAAAACAACTCAGGGACATATGTTAAGAAGTTATCTTTAGATTATGTAAGGAACATCTTGTGCCTCTAACTTCCTTGGCCATGGTTTTAAGCTACTGTTACCTTCTTGCTGATCAAGTTGCTCATTTACTTCTCAGAGCTAGCTAGGTGCCTGGAATTTCCCTTGAAGAAACTCAAGATTTTCCTTTATTTCTGTGCTTTGAGGGGTGGGAGGAGGAGGTCCTGGCAGGACCCTTAGAGGGGTCCTGCTCAGTCTCAATTCTTCCTGTCTTTTGTCACTTCTCAGTCCTGGGGCAGGTATAGAAACACAGAGTGCTGTGGCTACTTCCTGCTGAATTGAGGTAAAGATTAGGGACCAGGAGATGAGGAGATAAATTTCTAGCATGGAGCTCAAGATATTCACGAGTCCCAGGCCTGGCACCATGGTGCTGGATTATTATATTAGTTGCTTTCATCACTGCTTTATTACAATATTTTACAAGGAGAACGTGGCACACATACACCATGGAATACTATGCAGCCATAAAAATGATCAGATTGTGTCCTTTGTAGGGACATGAATCTGGGAACCATAATTCTCAGTGAACTGACAGAAAAATAGAAAATCAAACACCACATGTTCCTTGGTTATGATAGAAAGCATAAGTAAAATTAGCAAGACTGACATGCCTAACTTTAGTAATCCAGAAAACATGAAGAATCCAAGAAAACAAAGAAGAAAATCAGTCCTCTGGAACAGTTGGGGAGACCTGTTGTAACCAAGTGTCTTGTTCTCTAATTCTTTCTAATGAGTTTCTACCTGCCCAGATTCATTTATAAAAGTACAGCACATGGTATTTGCAATTATACATACTTTAGTCAGCTAAGATGCAATCTAAGACCATCTTATTATCTAAGACAACCTGAGCCAATGAATTAATTCCTCTTGGCTAAGTGACTGTTGCATGCACTAGCAGCAAGAATTTTGAAAGTGAGGGACAAATCTCTAATCGTGTGCTCCTGGGATGCCACTCCCTACCAAGGTAACAGCATCTTCCCAAAGTAGTAGCCAGCTCCATCTTTTTGGAACCCAGGTGAATGTGGATTTGTGGATTCCCAAAGTGAATATGTTGACCGTTTAGTTCCAATGAGTTGTTTAATTTGCTGGGAACTAAGATACACAACTTCCATGTGTTTAGAGAGCAGGCCTCTAAGGGAGACATATTTGAGGGCCTTACTCACCTGAAGAGGCAAAAATCAAAGAAGACTTTATAATGAGGCAAAAGAAGGAACTACTAAAATAATAAAATTTTCTTATTAATATTTTTGTGGAGGCGGGGAAGACTCAGAGTATGACAATGTAGTGAACTATCGCACTGTTATTCCATTAACTGGGTCAGGGAACATTTCTACAGGTTATCTGTCTTTGCCAGTGTTTGAGAAATTCCAATTACATAATTGTCCTTTTAATCTAGGGGGTTCAAAGTCCACAAGGAATAACAAAAGGCAATCGTGTTTATGGTTCAATGTGAGCACTTGAAGTAATTAAGACCCTAGAGCAGCACACACAGCCTGCTTAGCCAGTAGTTGATAGACAAAGCAAAATAAATAACAAAGAATAGTTTCTGTCAGTATCTCTCTCTCTCTCGTTTTTTTTTTTTTTTTTCAAACAAAATATATGAAATAACAACTTTTTAAAAATTGTACTTTAGGTTCTGGGGTACCTGTGTAGATCATGCAGGATTGTTGCATAGGTACACACATGGCAATGTGGTTTGCTGCCTCCACCCCGCCGTCACCTATATCTGGCATTTCTCCCCATGTTATCCCTCCCTGACCTCCCCACCCTCCTGCTGTCCCTCCCTTGGCCCCGACAACATGTGGTGTTTGATTTTCTGTTTTTCTGTCAGTTCGCTGAGAATTATGGTTCCCAGATTCATGTCCCTACAAAGGACACAAACTGATCATTTTTTATGGCTGCATAGTATTCCATGGTGTATGTGTGCCATGTTTTCCTCGTTCAGTCTATCGCTGATGGGCATTTGGGTTAGTTCCAGGTTTTTGCTATTGTAAACAGTGCCGCTGTGAACATACGTGTGCATGTGTCTTTATAATAGAATGATTTATAATCCTTTGGGTATATACCCAGTAATGGGATTGTTGGGTCAAATGGAATTTCTATTTCTAGGTCCTTAAGCAAGCACCACACTGTCTTCCACAATGGTTGAACTAGTTTACACTCCCACCAACAGTGTAAAAGTGTTCCTGTTTCTCCACATCCTCTCCAGCATCTGTTGTCTCCAGATTTTTTATTGATTGTGATTCTAACTGGTGTGAGGTAGTATCTCAATGTGGTTTTCATTTGCATTTCTCTAATAATCAGTGATGATGAGCATTTTTTCATATGTTTGTTGGCTTCATATATGTCTTCTTTTGAAAAATGTCTGTTCATTTTGGATGGGTTTGTTTGTTTTTTTTTTCTGGTAAATCTGTTTTAGTTCTTTGTAAATTCTGGATATCAGCCTTTTGTCAGGTGGGTAGACTGCAAAAATTTTTTCCCATTCTGTTGGTTGCCTGTTCACTCTAATGATTGTTTCTTCTGCTGTATAGAAGCTCTGGAGTTTAATTAGGTCCCATTTGTCTATTTTGGCTTTTGTTGCCAATGCCTTTGGTGTTTTAGTCATGAAGTCCTCACCTATGCCTATGTCCTGAATGGTTTTGCCTAGGTTTTCTTCTAGGGTTTTTATGGTGTTAGGTCTTATGTTTAAGTCTTTAATCCATCTGGAGTTAATTTTAGTGTAAGGTGTCAGGAAGGGGTCCAGTTTCTGCTTTCTGCACACTGCTAGCGAGTTTTCTGTCAGTATCTCTTATTATTTACTGTTAGGCATCTGTCTTCCAAGCAGCAGTGTGAGATCTGTCAGAGTTCACTAGTCCACCTGGAGAAGTCAGTCTTAGGGGTGTGCCTCCATTCCAGGTTCAGATGATCAGGACTATAATGTTTTTAAGGCATGGTTCCTGTTTTCTGTCACATTCTGATAGACAGGGTTAGGAAACTCTTGGGGAACCAGGTTTGCCCAGGAATGGTGGATCTACAGTTTGACCCTTCTTAATTGTACTGAGGAATGAGTCATCGATATCACATGGTCCCGTCCAATGAGGATGAGATTGATCTTCAACCAGTTTTCTTACAGTCTGGAGGGCAGTCAGTTTTGTCATCTAGATATTAGGCTCAAAACATCATGAGGCATGAATTTCAGCTCAGGAAAAAGGTAGTAGCAATTTCATTGAGTCTAAGTCAGGAAAATGGAAGAAATTTTTCTCTCTCCTTCTGGCATTTCTATCAAAGATGAATCATAGTAGGATCAATTTATTTGTAAAATAAGTTTCAGTCTTCTTGTTTTTGGCCTGATTATTTGCACAAAGTGAGTGAAAATAGTTATTGACTGTATAGGTTCTTTTAAAGTTGGCGTTGCTAGAATTTTTTTTTTTTTCTTTAAAGATGGGGTTTCACCATGATGGCCAGGCTGGTCTTGAACTCCTGACCTCAGATGATCCACCCACATTGGCCTCTGAAAGTGCAAGGATTATAGGCGTGAGCTACCATGCCCGGCCTCGAAACATTTTTTTATAAGGAATCTTAGATTACACTTTTTAATAGCCTCTAAAGCCAAGCCAAGGATTTATCTGTGCCTGCAGATACCTATATGAATTGTATTATTTCCTCTCTTATTGAGGTCCCAAAATATCCTGAGGTTCTCATGCTGTCAGAAAGCTATATACTTTACTGACCACAAGGTCAGGAACTTTGTGAGGAAATTGTTTAAATAGTTTTTCCCGGGGACTTTTTGTTAGCTCTATAAAGTCAACTTCAATTCCTCAAAGCAGTCTGGTCATATGTGAAAATATGCACTTCCAATCAAAGCCTTGGTAAAATAATCCGTGTCTCCAATTGTGTGCTGTTACAAAAGAAAACAGATTCTTAGTAAACTTATGCAAATAACTATATTGCCATAAACTAAGAATACTCACAAATGGTTTCCAATTTTTGGAAAAATTAGGTAGAGAGAGAGAAACATGCTTCAAGTTTTGTTCACAAGGGTTTACTTTAATCAATTGTTCAAAGCTATAAATGGCCCAAAAGAAAAAGTCTTCTTGACGCTGGAAATAAAACAAAAAGAACCAGCAATGTTTCAAACAAAAAAGTAAAAAAATTGTTCCAGTTATCTTTTTTTTTTTTTGACATGGAGTTTTGCTCTTGTTACCCAGACTGGAGTGCAATGGCACGATCTCAGCTCACTGCAACCGCCGCCTTCTGGGTTCAAGCAATTCTCCTGCCTCAGCCTCCTGAGTAGCTGGGACTACAGGCGCGCACCACCATGCCCAGCTAATTTTTGTATTTTTAGTATAGAAGGGATTTCACCTTGTTGACCAGGATGGTCTCAATCTCTTGACCTCATGATCCACCCACCTCAGCCTCCCAAAGTGCTGGGATTATAGGCGTGAGCCACCACGCCCAGTCTGTTCCAGTTATCTATTAGTTTAGCTCCATATAATTAACTCTTGTTCTCTTTGATGTTGAGTTAGCAATCCTCATAAGTATGTCAGTTTTTAATTAGAGTTCTGGAGGGTTTTTTGTTTGTTTATTTTGTTTGTTTGTTTTTTCCTAGTCAATGGTACCATCTCCAAAGTTATCAGAAACCTGTATTTAAGAGTATTTGTGAGAGTCCTTTCCATGAACTTCTTCAAAGAAGAAACCACTTTTTGAGAAGTTTTAGGTAGCAAAAGTCCTGGAAAAGCTATGATTAAAGAAGCAATTGACAAGAGACTGTGACATACAACAATTTAACATAATAGTTATAATTATTGTTGATAACATATATTAAGGCACCAGAATTTTAAGAATCTCATATAATTTTGGAACACATATTAATAACACATTTATGCAAATACAACCCAAATAAAGTTAAATATCATTTTATATTTCACAATGCTTCCTGTATGATTTTAACACACAAAGTAAGTTCAATATGTCTTTCCTGGACTTCCAGGGGCCTTAACATCAAAAAATTAGTTTGAGGTCAAGAAGGCTGAATTGAGAATTTGAAATTTAATTTTTGAATGTTTGTTAGATATTAGAGGTTTACAACAGTTGATATCACAAAATAGGATCACAGGAAACTGTAAAGCAATAGTCATCCATTTAGCTGAAGTGATAATTCAAGGATTTTGAAAAGCGAAATTTACTCTTTCATAGGGAGGAGACTCAGTTTTCCAAATAATCATAAGACCTCATAAAGATAGCACAGTGCCAGCTGAATCTGTCTTTTCCTTTTTTGCATCTTTTATTTTTGGAGCTTATTCAAAGGGTAAGCATAATCTGTTATTATGTCTTATTAATATTACATGAAAATCTTATTAAAAGAGAAAACCAAGTTCTACCTTTTCATTGCATATATTATTAATGCTAAAGGAAATTTAAATAAAACTTTATAAACAAATCCATCTAATCTCAGTCAGTTTTGACCCCAAGATAAGATTTTTATTACCCTTTTGTAACCTCTTACAATTTTTTATCAAAGAGCAGATCAGTGCTCCAAGAAAACTTTGTCATTCTGACACAGAGTCCCAGACTCTGACCCTGCATCAGTGTGCTTTTGATATTAATGCATAATTTTTAGAAAACTAAATAATCCCCTTTTAATTTTAGCCAAATCAATCATACACAAAGTTCATTTCACAAGATCAATTTTTCATAAATATTTTTCTACAACTTGCTTAAACCTTCAGTTTTGTCCAAATTGGATGTTTGCTGTAAATAGCAGAGTAACTGGATAATAGGGTTAAAAGAGAGGTTTATTACTTTATTACAGGTGGATTGGGACCTCTATAGAAAGAGAACCCCCAGTTTTGTCCTATCATTTTTACCTTAGCGCTAAAGTTTTTCTTTTATCATGACTTAACCAAGGGATGCATGAGGTCTCCAAAGAGGTGAAAAGCAGTTCTCATAAGATCCAGAATCACCCCAAAGACAGTTCCAAGAAAGAAAAGTTTTGCTAGCCACAAATGGAGTATAATCCACATTTCTGTTTGGCCATATTCTCTAGAATCTCAGCTGAGAATCTACACATAAAGGCCCCAAAGCCCATGTGCCTCTGAGATGAAAAAAATGAAGGGAATCAAAAGTTGTTCATGGAAGGGAAAAGAATAAAAATTGGCAAAAGTCACATGAATATCAAATCAAAAAGGACTTGTTCTGTAATTTCCCATTGGGTTCTTCCTGCCCACTGGACAAATAAAGACCACAGCATAGCAGCAAGGAAAAAATTTAATTGACTTGAAGCTGGCCATGCCATGCAAGAGATTGAGTTAGCCCTCAAATCAATCTCATCTCAGGCTGATAGGTTAGGGGTTTTTCTTTTATTTATTTATTTATTTTTAAGACTGGGTTTTACCATGTTGGTCAGGCTGGTCTGGAACTCCCGACCTCAGGTGATCCACCCGCCTTTGCCTCCAAAGTGCTTGGATTACAGGCATGAGCCTACATGCCCAGCAGGTAAGGGGTTTTTCTTTTTTTTTTTTTTTTTTTAAATTTTTTATTGGATTTTAGGTTTTGGGATACATGAGCAGAGCATGCAAGACAGTTGCATAGGAACACACATGGCAGTGTGCTTTTCTTTCCTTCTCCCCTTCACCCACATTTGGCATTTCTCCCCAGGCTATCCCTCCCCACCTCCCCCTCCCACTGGCCCTCCCCTTTTCCCCCCAATAGACCCCAGTGTTTAGTACTCCCCTTTCTGTGTCCATGTGTTCTCATTTTTCATCACCTGCCTATGAGTGAGAATATGCGGTGTTTCATTTTCTGTTCTTGTGTCAGTTTGCTGAGGATGACGTTCTCCAGGTAAGGGGTTTTTCAAAGACAGTTGGGGATGGCCAAGAAATGGGTGCTTGGTGCTGATTGGTTGGAGCAGAGATGAACTCATAGGAGGTCACAGCTATCCTCTTGAGCTGAGTCGCTTCTGGATGGGGCCACAGGAATGGGGTTGGCAGGTCTAGGTGGAGCCATGGATAGTAAATATGCAAAAAGCCTGAAAAAATATATATATAAAAGGGCCAATCTTAGGTCCTACAATAGTGATGTTATTTGCAGGACCTCTGCAATAATGGCTGGCAATCATTTATGTCTACACCTTAGCAGAATTCGGGCTCCTCCTCCTCCCCAAGCCTGAGGGTCTCTTATTGGCTTTACAAAGGTAGTTGAACTCTGGGGATGGCCTATAACCTATATGTCTTCCCAAGTTAGCTAGGCCTAACCCAAGGAATGATTAAGAGAAAGGCAAGAGGAGGATGGGTAGATCGGGTCTCTTTCACTGTCATAATTTTCTCACTGACACAATTTTTGCAAAGGTGGTTTCAGTTCCATCACTAGGAACTGAACACAAGCTGCTGTAGTGAAATGGCAGAACCTTAGCTACTGGACTGCAGTGTGGAACAGTCTTTGCTGTTATTTCTGGAGAAGATCTAAATCATGCAGTTTCTATCTTGCAAAGATTTTTAAACTTCGTTTTAGGTTATATTTTTGTTCTTTAATTTCATCAAGAGAATTTTTTTTTTTTTTTTTTTGTAGAAACAGGGTTTCACTATGTTGGCCAGGCTGGTCTCAAACTCCTGACCTCAGGCGATCCACCCACCTCAGCCTCCCAAAGTGCTGGGATTACAGGGGTGAGCCACCTCACTTGGCCAAGAGACCCAGTCAAGCACAAATGCTTGGATCCATCCCTGAGCAAAATAAAGTCAGGCAACTGCTGTCTAGGGGCTGATGTGCCGTGGGTGAGACTACCACTTGGGACTTTGTCCCTTTGCACTTGCCAACTAATTGTTACTGAATCGACGTGGGGTCCACTCACTGGCACGGTAAGTCCAAACATCTACATCAAGGTTTGTGGTGGGAGAAAGGAGGGTATTTATTTGCGAGTGTCAGCAAGGAGAACCCAGCAGCTCACGTTTAAGACCTGGCTTCCCCTGTGGCTTGTAAGAGTTTTTTAAGGAGGGGAGGCAGAGGTTACAGGCCAATTACATGCATGGAGGCTATATATTGGTTTGACCTAAAAAGGTAGGGCATCTCAAAGCAGGGGCTTACAGTTCATAGGTAGATTCAAAGATGTTCTGATTTGCAATTGGTTAAGGAAGCAAAACTTTGTATAAAAATTTGGGTTCAGTAGAAGAGAATGTGAGCTCTGGCTTGTGGGCATGACTTCCTCCCCATCCTTCGGGAAGAGCTTCAAAAGAAAGAGGAATGGTCAGAGTTCAGTCCTCAGTTCCTCCTTATCCGAGGTCCGTGGGCTAGCGGATCCATTTGGTGGGGGTCCAGGTATCTGAAAAAGAACTCAGAGAGGCCGGGCGCGGTGTCTTACGCTTATAATCCCAGCACTTTGGGAGGCCAAGGTGGGTGGATCACGAGGTCAAGAGATTGAGACCATCCTGGTCAACATGGTGAAACCCGTCTCTACTAAAAATACAAAAATTAGCTGGGCATGGTGGTGTGTGCCTGTAGTCCAACTACTCAGGAGGCCGAGGCAGGAGAATTGCCTGAACCCAGGAGGCAGAGGTTGCGGTGAGCCGAGATCGCGCCATTGCACTCCAGCCTGGGTAACAAGAGCGGAACTCCGTCTCAAAACAAAAAACAAAACAAAACAAACAAGCAAAAGAATTCAGAGAAACATATGTTAAGACGTTATCTTTGGGGGTAAAGGGATAAAGATAATGTTCTACAGGGAACATCTTGTGACGCTAACTTCCTTGGGTATATATAGATTTAAGCTACTATTACCTTCTTGACTATGAAATTGCTCATTTGCTTCTCAGGGCTAGCAAGGTGCCTGGAATGTTCCTTGAAGAAACTATTTTCCTTTATTTCCATGTTGCGGGGAGGGGCCTGCTGGCTGCTATGAGGGGTCCCTGCTCTATCTCAGTACTTGTCCTAAAGAATCCTATATAATTGTTCTTGTTGCTTCTTTTTGGAGGTGGCAGGGATTATATCTCTGAATCTCACAAAAGCACTGGTGCTACTTTTCCAGTAGTGCTTTGCTTTGCTTCTGAGCTGTTCTGATTTGTTTGTTGTTGGTTTCCTTTCTGTGTTCTGGGAGCCAGTGACTTGGCTGGGAACTCGAAATCCTACCTTTGAACTCCTGGCAGTTCCCTGTCTGTTTTCACACAGATGGACTTGCTGGAATCAGTAGTGAGACACCTCTGGTCTTAATACCTGTAGGGTTGAAGGTGTGGGTGTGGTCATAGCCATCTTGGCATCCAAGGGCAATGCATTACTCATGTTTCTGGTGATGCTGGTGTGAACAAACCTACCATGCTGCAGTTGTATGAAAATGTCTCACATACAGTTATGTAAGGTATACGATTCTTGATAATGATAATACAATGACTGTTTCTGGTTTGTGTATTTCCTATACATACATAAATAAATAACAATCATTTTCATTGACTATGTTAATATGACGATATACTTTTTATTGTTATTTCAGAGTATACTCCTTGTACTCATCTTTTTTAGGTTAACTGTAAAACAGCTTAGGCAGGTCCTTTGGGGGTATTCCAGAGGAAAGCATGTCATAGGAGATGACAGTCCATGCATGTTGTTCCCCCAAAGACCTTCCAGTGGGTCAAGATGTGGAGACGGAAGGCGGTGATATTGATGATCCTGACACTGTGTAGGCCTAAGGTAATGTGTGTTTGTGCCTTAGTTTTGTTCCTGTTTTTTTTTTTTTTGAGATGGAATTTTGCTCTTATTGCCCTGGCTGGAGTGCAGTGACACAATCTCAGCTCACCACAACCTCCACCTCCCAGGTTGAAGCAATTCTCCTGCCTCAGCCTCCCAAGTAGCTGGAATTATAGGCATGAACCACCACACCCGGCTAATTTTGTATTTTTAGTTTCTCCAGGGTTTCTCCATGTTGGTCAGGCTGATCTCAAACTCCCGACCTCAGGATCCACCCACTTCGGCCTCCCAAAGTGCCAGGATTACAGGCATGAGCCACCACGCCTGGCCTGTGCCTTAGTTTTTAACAAAACAGTTTAAAAAGGCAAAAAAAAAAAAAAAATTAATAGAAAAAAGCTTATAAGAATTGAGACAAAATATTCTTGTATAGCTGTGCAGTATATTTGTATTTTAAACTGTATTACAAGAGTCCAAAAGATTTGAAAAATATTAAAAAGTTTATAAAGTAAAAAAGTTATAGTAAGCTAAGTTTAATTTATTATTGAAGAAAGAAATTTTAAATGAATGTAGTGTCATCTAAAGGTACAGTAGGTCTACAGTCGTGTACAATAATGTCCTAGGCCTTCACCTTTACTCACCACTCACCCACTGATTCACCCAGAGCAACTTCCAGTCCTGCAAGCTCCATTCATGGTAAGTGCATCTACAGGTATGCCTTTGAAAAAATTATTTTATACTGTATTTTTTACTATGTCTTTTCTATGCTTAGGTATGCAAATGCTTACCATTGTGTTACAGTTACTTACAGTATTCAGTACAGTCACATGCTGTACAGGTTTGTAGCCTAGGAGCAGTAGGCTATACCATATAGCCAAGGTGTGCTGTAGGCTATACCATTTAGGTTTGGGTAAGTACACTCGATAGTCACACAATGATGAAATCACCTCATGATACATTTCTCAGAACATATCTGATATGGTGTGGCTGTGCCCCCCGCCAAGTCCCATCTTGAATTGTAGCTCCCATAATCCCCGAATGTTGTGGGAGAAACCCAGTGGGAGATAAATGAATCATGGGAGTGGGTTTTTCGTGCTGCTCTCCTTACAGTGCTGCTCTTGGTGCTGCTTCCTGTGCTGCTCCCCATGCTGCTCTCCCTCATCAGATCTGATGGTTGTATAAAGGGCAGTTCCCCTGCACATGCTCTCTTGCCTGCTGCTATGTAAGATGTGCCTTTGCTCCTCTTCACTTTCTGCCATGACTGTGAGACCTCCCCAGTCATGTGGAACTGTGAGTTCATTATTTCTTTTGCTTTATAAATTACCCAGTCTTGGGTATGTCTTTATTAGCAGTGTGAGAAAGGATGAACATACTATCCCTGCCATTAAGTGACCCATGACTGTATATAGTTCCTTTTTAGCTTAAGAGAGAAGGCCAAACGAACAAGAAGTTCTTATAATGCTTCAAATGCAGAAATAATTTAAACAAATTAATGTAAATGTTTCTCTCCTGAATCAAAGGAATTTACAGAGAAAAGGAATTTATGATGGGTTTAAAGAATTTTAACTGCTCTGATTTCTGCTTTTAAAAATCTTGCTAAGGGAAGAGTTTTAGACAAAGCTGGAATTTCCCTTGAAGGAACTCTTTTCCTTTATTTCCATGTTGTGGAGAGGGGCCCGCAGGCTCCTAGGAGGGGTCTACTAAGGAGTCTCTAACATTAGCCATTATACTCCTTTGTATCCTTTTATTTTCTCTCCAATTAGTCACTTAAATTTTTTATTTGCTGTCTGTAAAAAGTCTTTTTAAAGAGACAGTAAAAAAACTGGAAATCTTCTTAGAAGCTTCTGCACATCAGTGGACATCTCTGGGTGGCCTAGTTTGGAAGCCCTAATTTTTAAAAGCACTTCTTAAAGTGTGGTGTGGTTCATATGGAACATTCTAGATAATGGCCATTATATTTTAAAATTATCTTTGCTGTAATTTGCCCATTGGTTTAAAAATGTGCGTGATAATGAGCCACAATGTTTGAACATGGAGTCAGCTGGAGTCCCTAAAGAAGGACTATCTCTTTAAGCTTTAGAATTTGGGGATCTCATTCTGTTTCATATTAATTTCCCAAGAACAAAAGGAAAAACTTCATAAATATACTCACCACAAATGTGGTACAATCCACATTTCTATTCAGCCATTTTCTTGGGGGCTGCCACCCTTTTGATCAGGCATCTGCAGAGGCAGGCCTCATCACCTGCATGGTCCAGTAGACAGAGAGCCAAAATAGTGTTGACCTGTGCCCATGATTATGTTATTTTGCCCTTGGAAGATGTTCAGAAATAAGAAAAATCTAACTCACCAAAATTGTCAACCAGATATGCAGGTCAAACCAGAAGGATAATGGCCTTTAGGCTTTTATATTACCAGATGTTGAATAAAGTTAACCAAAATTCAGGAGCAACCAAAATTTGAGAGGAGACTCACTGGGGCAAAGGGACAACTCAGGGAAGTGGGGAGTGCAAGTCTTGGTGGGTACAGCACATAGTCCTGGGGGCTACCAGTCTATCTGAGGTGAAGCTTGCTTTGGATTCCACTTCTGACACCATTTTATATAAACCTAAAAATAAACTTAAAGGGATAGGCTCTCCAGAACAAATGTGTTTATTTGGGAATAGTGGGGGATTGCAACCTCAGGGTACATGGTCTGTGATGGATCATAAGTATATCCAGGAGTGTTGGGGCAAAGAAGAATCTTTTAAAGATAAAAAGAGGCTGGGCGCGGTGGCTCACGCCTATAATCCCAGCACTTTGGGAGGCCGAGGTGAGTGGATCACGAGGTCAAGAGATCAAGACCATCCTGGTCAACATGGTGAAACCCCCATCTCTACTAAAACAATACAAAAAATTAGCCGGGCAAGGTGGCATGTGCCTGTAATCCCAGCTACTCAGGAGGCTGAGGCAGGAGAATTGCCTGAACCCAGGAGGCAGAAGTTGCGGTGAGCTGAGATCGCACCATTGCACTCCAGCCTGGGTAATAAGAGCGAAACTCCATCTCAAAAAAAAAAATAAATAAATAAAATAAAAAGAGGTCCACATAAGTTGCTTTAACAAAGTGCTGAGATCACAGAAGCTCATGACAAGAGGTGGCATTTGTTCATTGGTGGAGACAGTCATTGCTAGCTAAGTGCCCTGGTGTAGGCAGCTTACTTAAAACACTGCAAAATTGAGGAAGTTCTTCTGATAAGTTGCTATAGGGTACATGCAAGGCATGTATGGTATGTGGGACAAGTGTGCATGTGGGATGAGTAGGAATTTCTTGTGATAAGACAGGGTGCAGGTATGCAAGCTCCTTCTTTCATGGCCCCTGACTCCATTTTGTTAGAGTTTTGACATAAGTTACTCCATTTTGGTACCAGCAACTTTCACAATTCCAGTGAATCCAGGGTTCTAATTGAATAGATTGCAATTGATTGATTTTGCAAATAGTGGGCCCTGACATAACATTGTGAACACGACCCATGTTTACTCATTTCATAAACCAGTTGTAGGCCAGGCACGGTGGCTCACACCTGTAATCCCAGCACTTTGGGAGGCCGAGGCAGGCGGATCACAAGGTTGGGAGTTGGAGACCAGCCTGACCAACATGGTGAAACCCCATCTTTATTAAAAATACAAAAAGTAGCCAGGTATGATAGCAAGTGCCTGTAATCCCAGCTACTTGGGAGGCTTAGGCAGGAGAACTGCTTGAACCTGGGCGGTGGAGGTTGCAGTGAGCTGAGATTGCACCACTGCACTCCAGCCTGGGCAACAGAGCGAGACCCTGTCTCAAAAAGTAAAAAATAGACAAGTTGTAAACCTGTTTTAACCAATCCTGGGCTCAATCCAAATATTGTAACTGTCCTGCTGCTTTGTTAGTTAACAATTGTTCTAATAAGTGGATCTCTTTTAATTCCCAGGACTTGGGGATCTTTCGTTTTGTTGAGATTTTTGCAGGGCTGCTATTTGTTGTAATAATTTGGCTGAAAGATAAGTAAGTGGATGTGTGTAGCTATGTGATGTGCTTTGCTGAGAGCAAGGAAGATTATTTTGAGTCACTGCACCTGCCTGCCTCCCTGGCTATAATGCAAAAGATGATCCTTTCAAATAAAGGAGTATAGAAAGTGACCATCCCTCAGCCTCACCAATCAACTGGAATCACTTCCAAGGAAACAGATTCAAATCGGTAATCCAAACCCCACCCAGAGCCAAGTCTTTCTGAACAATAGCTGTTACCAAGGTCTCAGGAACATTAGGTGCTCAATTCTATTTTAAGTAGCATGGTCAGCGCTCAACCCCAAAGTCAGGTTTAAGTAATTAATTAATTTGATTCTGCCTCTTTATTTAAAAAGGACATGACGGGTTTTACAACTTAAAATATGTGAAAATGAAGCATTTAAAAAGAGACTGGAAGCCCCATAATGGCAAAGAGGGAAATATTCTATCAGGAATGTGGATAAATAGTTTGAGCATGAAATTCGTAGCACTCAAGGCGAAAAGAGAAATGGTGGACCCCATAAATTTAATCACCTGATTTTCAAAGAAGAATAAGAATAAGAAGTAGCAGCATCAGCATTCTGTTTGTTTGTTTACAAGAAGCATTGTTGTTTGGGGAAGCAAATATTTACTTGGCATTACATTTTTGGAAAATTAGATTTCGTAGATCCTCATGTAAGAGACTTGGAGTAACTTGCTCAGAGATGTCTTTGACTGTGGTTTTGCCGAAGCAAAAATGGTTTAAGTCTTATTGTGAAATCAAGAAAGCTTGAATCAGTGATTCTTCTTCTGGGGAGAACAGTCAATTTATAATTAAGCACCCGAATCAATGCCTGATCCCATGTCATATTTATTTTTGACTTTGGTTCAAGGATAAGAGGTGGTTGCTCACAATGACTTGAGTTCCAGAAAGATGGATTTTTGAGTCACAGCCGATACAGATAACACAAACAAGCCAGCTTGAGTCAGTCACCAGAAAACCCCCATTCCTAATATTTCCACTAGTTGCTCAATACTGTATTTACCTCTATGAGCTACTCTCAGGAGAGAAAGTGAAACAACCAGGGTGATCTTGGCTAGAGTTGATACAAGGACTAGCACTGACTTCACAGACTAAACAGGAGTTTCAGCGGTTGAAAATTCCCAGTGTGCACATTTTGGCATTTCCACCTGGAATGTGGTCCTGCTGGGATGGTGGCAAACAGCCAGACTTGTACTAGTGGCCTGGGCTCAAAGGCAAATGTCCTGGACCTGGGCTTGGCTTCCTGAACCAGCTGACAAGCTGGCCCAGTGCCAATGTGTAACCTTGTATACAAAGGCCACTTTTCTTGATTCACAGTTGCTGGGGATTCATTTAGCTTGTTTTCTTGCCTTCTCCTGGTACTTTTGCAACCAGTTACAAGAACTGCATTGCAAATGCCTGTAAGGAATATTTAGAATAATAGTGACCCCTATCACTCTTGTAGGCAGTTCCCAGGGAAGATTCCAGCTTCTCTGGATTGATAACCAATGCTTCCCACAAGGAAAGGGTACAGAATTAAAGGCAGACATTCCAACTCCTGCTTCCAGCCTTCTTAATGAGAAAGTTTCCACTTGCGGGGACAGCTCAGTGATGAATTCCTTTTAGCTGTGTGTCTTTGGAAGGCACAGGTTCCTTCTTAGGGTGCCAGGTG